GAGCAACCCCATGGAGTTTTCTAGGCTGTGATTGCCAGGAAAGCAGATCCCTAGGGTGCCCGGTCTTTCCCCCACAGAACTGCTTGGCAGTTTGGAAGTCATAACCTTTCTTTTTTTTTTTTTTAAATCACTCTATTGGGAGCTCTTAAAGCCTCTTGTAACAATCTATACATCAATTGGATCAATCACATTTGTTCATATGCTGCCATCATCATTTTCAAAGCATTTTCTTTCTATTTGAACCCTTGGTATCATCTCCTCTTTTTACCCTCCCTCCCCAACCTTCCTACCTTTGTGAAACCTTGATAAATTATTAATTATTATTTTCATATTATTCATCCCCCTGGAAGAGGTGGGGCAGTTAATACATCAATCACTGTGATCGGTTCCCCCTTTCTCCCTCTTCTGCCCCCCACCTTCCACCTACCCTCATGGTATTCCTGCTCCCACTGCTGTTCTGAGGGGTTTATCAGTCCTGGAGCTCTTATCTGTACCAGTGTACATGCTCCAGTAGAGCTGGATTTGAAGACAGAACTGGGATGATGATAGTGGGAGAGGGGGGCGGGAAAGAGGAAGCATGAAAGAACTAGCGGAATCTTGTGTGTTTTGTTGGTGCTATGCTGCACCTTGGCTAACTGGACCCTTCCTTGTGACCCTTCTGTGAGGGGTTGTCCAGATGGGCTTTGGGTGTCCACTCTGAGAAGTTTGGGAAGTGCTAACCTTTCCAGTAACCTAACCTAACCACTTACTCACTGAGCCAGGAGGGCTCCTCCTGAGAAAGAAGGCAGCCATTCGACTGACTCCAGAGTGGTCACTCTCTGTGTGTACTCCTGGATCTCTCCGCGTTTCCCGATCGCTTCTTGTGCACACTCCCTCAGACCAGGCCATTCATTGGAAACATAGTCGGCCAGGGACACCATTCACCACGTCCTGGATTAGTGTTTCAGGAAGGCAAGCAGAAATCAGCAAACGAAAACCCAGCGGGGATTAGTTTTAAGAATGTATTTTAGGGAATCCAGGACAGATGATCCCTTCAGGACCAGTGGTGAGAGTGGTGATACCGGGAGGGTGAGGTAGAAAGGGGGAACCAATTACAAGGATCTCCATATAACCTCCTCCCTGGGGGACGGACAACAGAAAAGTGGGTGAAGGGAGATGTCAGTGTAAGACATGACAAAATGATAATAATTTATAAATTACCAAGGGTTCATGGGGGAGGGGGATGGCTGGGAGTGGGAAAAAATGAGGAGCTGATATCAAGGGCTCAAGTAGAAAGCAAATAATTTGAGAATGATGAGGGCAACAAATGTACAAATGTGCTTGACACAATGGATGGATGGATGGATTGTGATAAGAGTTGCACAAGCCTCCAATAAAATGATTTTTAAAAAATGTATTTGATTTAACCCAACCGATCCAAATTAAAATGATAGCAACATGAAAACAACTTTAACATTTCAAGTGAGACAGTTTACCTTTCTTTTTCATTCTAAGTCATTCAAATATACTAACCAGGCTAGCAGTATAATCCTCTAGGACAGTGGTTCTCAACCTGTGGGTCGCAACCCCTTTTGGAAGTCAAACAACCCTTTCACAGGGGGCGCCCAATTCATAACAGTAGCAAAATGACAGTGATGAAGTAGCAATGAAAATAAGTTTATGGTTGGGGGGGGTCACCACGACATGAGGAATTGTATTAAAGGGTCTCCACATTAGGAAGGTTGAGAACCACTGGTCTAGGAGGTCAAAAGTAAGAAGCTCTCCCAGTAAGACAGTCATACTTAAAATCTCTTTGGGGTTCCCTCCAGATCCCTTAGCCCTCAAACCTAAACAGTGGTCTGAGTGGCTAAAGGAAAAAGGCGGAAAGTGAACTGAAATGGACTTGTCTTGCGACAAACAAGTTCACTTCAAACAATAGCACACACAAAAAAATCTCTTTGGGGAATAAAATCTAGAGTTTGTTGTTTTTATCATTTTATCGAGGGCTCTTGCAATGCTTATTACGTCTATATGTCAATTGTATCAGGCATATTTGTACCTGTGTTACCATCATTCTTTTCTAGACAATTACTTTCTATTGAGCCCTTGATATCAGCTCCTCTTCCTGCCCCCCTTGACCCTTTAATAGATTATAAATTATTACTTTCTTTTTTTTATAAGATTTTATTAACAGCGATCAGAATATACTAAAAATACCTGCAATACTGTTCTCAAGTAAGTTTTTTTTTAGTGTCATAGTGGTTTTTAATGTTGTAAACTTTTCTTTTTTTTTCTTTTCGTTATATTAGGGGCTCATACAACTCTTATCACAATCCATACATACATCAATTGTGTAAAGCACATTTGTACATTCATTGCCCTCATCTTTCTCAAAACATTTGCTCTCTGCCTAAGCCCCTGGCATCAGGTTCTCATTTTTCCCCTCCCCATCCCCCCTCCCTCATGAGCCCTTGATAATTTATTATTTTGTCATATCTAAATTATTATTATTTCCATATCTCACACAGACCACTGTCTCCCTTCACCCAGGGTTTCCCTTGTTGTCCTTCCCCTGGGGAGGGGGTGTGTGTGTGTGTGGTTGTGAATTGATCATTAGGATCCTTCCCCCTTCCTTCCCTCCTCCCCTGTTTGTTTTTAAACACAACAACAAAAACCAAAACTCTGAGTTGGAAATGGCTGCAGGGCAATTTGTTCTTCACCAGAGACGTCCCTCAGGTACAAGGAGTTGTATTCCTCGGCTCAGGCAGCCTGAGAGGTCCCTGCACACCATCTGGACACAGCAGATGCCGAAAGCAAATGATACCACTGCCAGCACCCCCTGGCCTGAACCTCCCCTCTCGGAGCTGCCAGTCATCTTGCAGCTTCCCCTCCCAGCAGGACTGGCCACCGGGCACTCTCATTCTTCATAAATGCCCGGCCCCAACTAAAGAAAAGCTCCAGCTTTACCTTGATAACCCTCCCTAGGAGGGGACTTCCCATCTTGGTCACAGCCAGAAGGGAGTTCCTGTTCCTCCCAGCCAGCCTCTGTCACAGAGAGCCAGAGGGGACACAAGGGCAGTGGAGGTGTTGTCCCTGCCCAGCTCAGAATTCAGGTCGCATACTGAAAGGAGTCTCAATTTGGGCGGCTAACCAAAAACTCAGCAAAGAAGTCCTGCAAAAGGTTTCCACATTGAAAAGATCTCAAGTCCATGTATAAGTCTATGCCAGATATATCAAGGAATAAAATACATAACTTCTGAGGCAGACTAGCAAAAGAAACTCCATCTTTTAGCCGCTGAATGACTTGCCTCCTTCCCCCTCCCATCTTGGAAAGTCCCACTAGTGATCAGTTTTAGAATGGCCTCTCGTGTACCCAGGTTCTGGGAGGGAGTTGACCTGCACAAGGTCAATGTTCAGCAGGACATGGGACTGAGATGTATTTCAGAGGAAGACTGTATAAGCCTCAGGGACAGGTGGGGCATGGGAGAGTCCAGGCTGACTCTGGTTTAGAACAAAGGCAGCTGAAGACTGATATTTCCATTTGCTGAGATAGGTAGGGAGGGGAAGCAGCTGTGGGGGTCAGATCAGGAGTGGGCTTTGGAATGCTGACGCTGAAATATCAGGGTGGAGATAGATGGAAAGCTATCAGCGTGGAGATGTGTATAGCTAGGGAGTGGGGCAAAGAGCCAGGGGGAAACGTAGAGAGAAGAGATAAAAACAGAGAACCAGTAGGAGCCCGGCCATTGAAAGGCCGCTTCAAGAAGAATCTGGATTCCCCCTCCTCTGTAGAAGGGAGACTGGAAAGGGGTGTTATAAAAGTCGGGAGTGAGGAGGAGTCTCTATCTTGGATGATCTTGACCATGCCACTAAGATGGGACTGAAGATAATGTTTCTAAGAGGGCTGATCATGGGGAAATGTTCTGTGTTCTGCCCCGCATCACGGCAAGGAGAGGGGGAGGAGAACCAGACAGAGTGGTGGTGACAACCTGCAACGCAGGTGGAACCTTCTGTTCTCCCACTGGAAGGCAGCTTGGGAAAGTAAATTCTCCAGTGGGAAATAATGACCGTTTGGGTCATCTGTCGTGGTGGCGAGACCCCCTACTTACAGGGACAGAACAGGGGCTTCTTTCTGCCCAGTCTGCTAAGGAGGCGAAGGAAGGAGCCTGTGAAACAAGTGGTGAACAGAGACTGAGAACTGGCTGGGCGAACACCCGAACCTTGAACTTTCTCGCAGATAATTCTGAGACACAGCTGTCCCTGAGCTGCAGCCCAGATAAACCTGAAAGAAAGGATGTGTGCGCCCCAAGGGCGAACTGAGTAACTAATTAGAAAGTTGCTTGACCCTCTGGCGAGCGGCAACCCCTCCCCTTTGAAAATGGCACTGGAAGACTAGAAGCAGACCCCTAGACAATGTTCTCACTGAGGGGCAGAGACAGACCTGCTTCACCCCCAGAGCAAAGGGTATCTTCTCTAAGCTTAGGGTGTCCTTCTCAGCTCTCAAGAGAGACCCCTGCTTCAGTTCTTTTGAAGTGACTCCATGCCTTAATAAACTTGTGGCTTAACTCTACTACTGGGTGTGTACGTGCACAGGCTTGTAAGTGAGCACGGCTCTCTCTGGCCCCTGACAAACCACACAGGGGCAGAACTTGCTAGTTCCCTCATGGACGAGAGCCCGGGAACTGAACTTCACACGAATGTGTTTCTAATGCCATAGATATGTCTATGTAATGGATCCAGGGAGCCCTGGTGGTGTAGTGGTAATGCGTTGGGCCACGATCTGCATGGTCAGCGGTTTGAAACCACCAGCAGCTCTGTGAGAGAAAGACAAGGCTTTCTACTCCCATCAACAGTTACAGCCCGATGCATGGACTTGATCGCAGTGAGTGCTTAACCATTGCAACACCAGGGCTCCTGATCTAAATATGAGAGTAAGCCAAAACGGCTTGTGACTACTAAGATTCCAGTTCAGACACGCATGGGCTTATTCCAAACAAAACAGCATTTCAACATGCCTTTGCCAGATGGCTGCAGACAGGTAAGTCCTCTCAGTAATACACTTGTCTCACCAGGGTGCCTTATGGAAGTCCAATCCCACACAGAGGCTTCTGAGGGACCAGCGGGGCCAGTTCAGTTTGAGGAGAGAAGTCAGCTCGGAAGGTTCTGGCAACTGTGTTTTGGGGATCCCCAAAAGGTCATCTTGGAATATTTTCTTGAAGGATACACAGGACAATTGCATGGGCTTATTAAGAAGAAGGGTTTTTTTTTGTTTTGTTTTTGTTTTTTAAGGAAGAACTTTTAAGAACACTGAAAACTCTATTGGTGACCCCCTCCCCAATCCACAACAACGAATTCACTTATTAAAAGAAAGAAGCACATTGCTGAACCAAATCTGAGATTTTAAAATGTTGTAAAAAACAAACAAACAAACAAAACCCACCAATTCTCTGGTGAGAAAAAGGGCAGAAAAAAATGTGCTGAGGAATTTCCCCCATCACGACAATGCACTTGCTCACGGTGGTCATTCTTTGAGAATAGCAAGGGTTCTCGTAGGGCAATGGCACTGGGAAATCTTACCTCATCCATCCTCCGTACAACTCTGATCTTGCTCCTTCAGACTCTGTGCCCCTAACTCAGAGGACATTGGGAAGCCCAGTTTGAGTCCCTCAGAGATCCCCAGGCTGCCGTTTGGACCTGGCATCATTCAGAGAGCACAGAATTCTTCTGGGGATGGTTAGTGGGAAGGTCCTTAGAAGTGGATAGGACCTGGATGTCCAGAAATACTAGCTTCACATTTTGATGCTTTTGTTTAATGAAGATGCCTACAATTTTATATCAATGCCTTTTAAAAGTTATCCTCATGTAAAGCTCCTGGAAGGGGACAAGGGAACAACAAGCGATCCAAATTGGTGGGGAGGTGGGTGTGGGAGACCTGGTAGGGCATGATCAAGGGGAACATAACAAAGAGGAAGT